CCATACCTGTATGCAACTTAATTACATGGTAATCCTCACATGTACCCCACATTTAAAAAATAAAATACAGTCGGGCTCGGTGGCTCAGACAGTAATCCACACATTGAGAGGCTGAGGTGAGTGGATTGCCTGAGCCCGTGGGTTCGAGACCCGCCTGTGCAACTTGGCGAGATCTCATCTCTACAATAAATCAAAAATGAGCCGAGCGTGGTAGCACACGCCTGTAGTTCCAGCTCCTTAGAAGGCTGAGCGGAAGGATCGCCGGAACCCAGCAGGTCGAGGCTGTGGTGGCCGGGAGCGGCCACTGCACTCCAGTCTGGGTGACAGAGTGAGACTCCAACTCAAAAAAAAAGAAAAAAAGAAATTAGCCAGGTGTGGTGGTGCCTGAGCCCAAAAGGTCAAGACTGCTGCAGCCATGATCATGACACTGCACTCTAGCCTAGGCGATGAAGTGAGACCCTGACCAAAAAAACAAAAACCTTCCAGGCTCGGTGGCTCAGCCTGTAATCCTGTGCTTTGGGAGGCCGAGGCGAGAGGACTGCCTGAGCCCACGGGTTTGAGACCCACCTGGGCAACTTGGCGAGACCTCATCTCTACAATAAATCAAAACCTATGTGGGCATGGTAGCGTGCCTGTAGTTCCAGCTACTTGGAAGGCTGAGGCAGAAGGATCGCCAGAGCCCAGCAGGTCGAGGCTGCAGTGACTGTGAGCGGCCACTGCACTCCAGTCTGAGTGACAGAGTGAGACTCCAACTCAAAAAAACAAAAACAAAAACCAGAAAACACTATAGTGGCCTCTCTGAAATGCTTTTCTGTGGTAGGCCCAAAGAGTCCAGGGAGCGTCACGCCACACCCCACCTGGAAACAAAAGGCCACGACCATCTATGCAGGTGCCTCCCAGCCCTGGGGTACCTCCTCCGTCCTGGTCATCGCCCGCACCCCGTCGGCCAGGTACGAGAGCTTCTCCGCACAGAACGCCAGCTTGCCGAACACGTCAGGGATGTCAGAGGGTGCCGCGTCTTTCTGCAGGCCGAGAGGAAGGTCTCATCTCCCCTCCGGCCCCTCGCTGGGACCCTCTCTGCGGGCAGCTCTCCCACACAGCCACTTCCCAGCACCTGGGCCAAGGGCGAGGAGATGCCCATGAGCCGGATGTAGAGGTTGTTGATGCCCATCTGGACGGCCAGCAGCAGCTGCTGGCTCTTGGCCATGTTGGCGTAGGCCAGCTGGAGCCACTCCTGTTCCTCTCCAAGCACGTCCCTCAGCTGCTTCTCCATGGTCTGAAAGCTGCGGAGGACAGTGCCCGCAGTCGTGAGGGCACACAGACCCCAGAGCCCATGGTGGGCTGCTTGGGAGGCTGGCCCCAAGTGGGTGCTATGCTGAGGGCAGGGACTGGGGAGCGCGGAGGTGGGCAGGCGGGGGCCCCCAGGCCGTCTGCAGGGTGCCCACGGGCCCAGGGTTCCCAAGGCCCAGGCACCTGAAGGAACCGGGTGCCTGCTGGAACTTGAGCACTGCCTCCTCCAGCTCCAGCCTCTCAGTCAAGGCCTCCAGCTGTGCCTGCCTCGCCACTCCGTCATCCATCTGCCGTATCAGGCTTTCCTCCGTGCTCTTCTGGGCCAGGAACCGGCTGGCGATGTCCTGCCGGGAAGCAGGCATAGGCCTGAGAGGTGCCACAGAGCCGGTTTCTCCTGGGTCCTTCCTGTGGCTGGGGCGGCTTCTCACCACTCAAAGCCGGTAATCATGCCAACCGCTGTCTGGCCGTGAGGACTTGCCAGGGGCCAGCCACGGGGGGAAGCACTTGTTTCTTTTTCTTTCTTTCTTTCTTTTTTTTTGAATTGGAGTCTCACTCTGTCACCCAGACTGGAGTGCAGTGGCTGCTCCCAGCCACCACAGTCTCAACCTGCTGGGCTCTGGCTATCCTTCTGCCTCAGCCTTCTAAGTAGCTGGGACTACAGGTGCATGCTGGGACTACCACGCCCGACTAATTTTTTATTTATTGTAGAGACGAGGTCTCGCCAAGTTGCCCAGGCGGGTTTTGAACCTGCGGGCTTAGGCCATCCACTCACCTCGGCCTCCCAAAGCGCTGGGATTACAAGTTGAGCCATCGAGCCAGGCTTGTTTCTTTTTCTACTAAGAGCTCAAGGTCATCCGGGCTCAGTGGTTCAGCCTGTCATCCCGACACTTTGGGAGACCGAGGCGAGTGGATGGCCTGAGCCTGTGGGTGCGAGACCAGCCCAGGTAACTTGGCGAAACCTTGTCTCTACAATAAATCAAAAATTAGACAAGGGCGGTGGTTCATGCCTATAATCCCAGTTCTTTGGGAGGCCGAGGTGAGAGGATTGCCTGAGCTCACGAGTTTGAGACCCAGGCAACTTGAGGAGAACTTATCTCTACAATAAATCAATAAAAATTAGCTGGGTGTGGTGGTGCATGCCTGAAGTTCCAGTTACTTGGAAGACTAAGGTGGAAGGATCATCTGAACCCAGTAGGTTGAGGCTGCAGTGGCCGTGAGTGTGCCACTGCACTCCAGCCTGGGCGACAGAGTGAGACTCTGACTCAAAAAAAAAAAGTCAAAAATTAGCCGGGCGTGGTAGTGCTCGCCTGTAGTTCCAGTGACTTGGAAGGCTGAGGCGGAAGAATCTCCTGAACCCAGCAGGTCGATGCTGGGGTGGCCGTGAGCATGCAACTGCACTCCAGCCTGGGCAACAGAGTGAGACTCCAACTCAAAAAAGGAGAGAAACAAGGTCTTGCTCTGTTGCCCAGGCTGGAGTGCAGTAGCGTGACCATAGCTCACTGTAGCCTCAAACTCCTGGGCTCAAGCAATCCTCCCACCTCAGCCTCCTGAGTAGCTGGAACTACATAAGCCTCCACATCTGGCTAATTTATTTATTTTAATTTCTGAGTAGAGGTCTCACTCTGTCACCCAGGCTGGAATGCAGTGGCATGGTCATGATCACTGCAGCCTCAACCTTCTGGATTTAGGTGATCCTTCTGCCTCAGCCTCCCAAGTAGCTGGGACTATAGGCATGTGCCACCCTACCTGGCTAATTTTTAAAATTTTTGTAGATACAAGTTCTCTCTATGCTGCCCAGGCTGGTCTTGAACTCCTGGACTCAAGTGATTCTCCTGCCTCAGCCTCCCAAAGCATTGAGAATACAGGTGTGAGCCACTGTGACGGGCCAAAAAGTCTTTTATTTTATTTTTTTAGGAGACAGGGTCTTGCTCTGTCCCCCAGGCTGGAGTACAGTGGCATGATCATAGCTCACTGCAGCCTCAACTTCCTGAGCTCAAGCAATCCTCCCATCTCAGCCTCCCGAATAGTGGGCACAACAGGCACATGCCACCACACCAGGCAGGGATGAAACGCTTTGTGTCTGTTATTGCATGTGACTCTCACAGCAGACAGTGAGACAAGGAGACCATCACCAAGGGACATTGACTCACTTGACTGACAGCAGACAAGCTTGTGTCAGGACCAAGGATGCTCAAGGCCTAATATAATAATAAACCCAATGCTGGACACAGAGGGTCACACCTGTAATCCCAGCACTTTGGGAGGCCAAGGCTAGAGGACTGCCTGAGCCCAGAAGTTTGAGACCAGCTTGGGCAACATGGCAAGACCTCATCTCTATAAAAAAAATTTACAATAGGCCAGGTGCAGGGGCTCACGCCTATAATCCCAGCACTTTGGGAAGCCGAGGTGAGAGGGTTGCCTGAGCCTAGAAGTTTGAGACCAGGCTGGGCAACTTGATGAGACCTCATCTCTACAATAAACCAAAAAAATTAGCCGGGCATGGCAGTGTGTGCCTGTAGTTCCAGCTACTTGGAATGCCAAGGTGGAAGGATCATCTGAGCCCAGTAGGTCAAGGCTGCGGTGGCCGCTGCACTCCAGTCTGGGCGACAGAGTGAGACTTCAACTCAAAAAAAAAAAAAATTAAAAAATTAGCTGGGCATGGTAGCACCTGCCTGTAGCTCCAGCTACTCGAGAGGCTAAAGGGGAAGGGTCGCCTGAGCCCAGCAGGTTGAAGCTGCCGTGACCGTGAGCGTGCCACTGCACTCCAGCCTGGGCCACAGAGTGAGACTCCAACCCCAAAAAGAAAAAACCAAATAAAAGAATTAAAAGGATAACTGCTTGCTGTGAGTCGGTCGGTGTGGGAAGGGGCCAGAGCTAGCAGCAGACACATACCACTGACGTCCAGATCTCACACCCCAGCGGGCTCCCACCACCCCTGTAACGGCATCCTCACCCCACCCTGCACCCCTGTCCCCCAGCCCCCACCCATGGCCTTGCAGGCCCCGAGTCTCCCTCTGACCTGGGCCAGCCCTGCAGGGTCCTGGACGTCCAAGGAGGCTGCAGCTTTCCGTCGACTCCCGAGGGCCTGTGGACCTGGGCCCAACCCCACTACCCTCCGTCCATGCCCCGGGGTGCCAGGGATCATTACCCAGAGGTGGGCGCACTGCACAGCCGTCTTGACCCTCTCTACCACAGCGGTCACGTCCGTCTGGTATTCGATGTCAGCTCTGGACGCCTCTCTTTTCCTCACTGGCAGCACAGAGGGGAGTGGAAAAGGGCTCTGTGTGAGGCCACCGATGCCTCTGTGCATACTCAGCCGTCAGGGAGGCTGCCTGCACCTGCATTTGCGCCCTCCTTGGTCCACACCTCAGGAACGCCCCTGGGCAGCCCCTGCGCGGGGCAGACAAGAAACAGCGGCACTGTGGGGCCTAGTGGTGAATCCCAGCGACAGCTCAGGGGTACAGGGAACTCACCCTGGAGGAGTCTCTGAGCCAGGGACCCGGGCTACCAGGGACAGCATCTCTGTGGCCACCTTTGGCAACAGGCTCTCAGCTTCCGCAGGGAAGGCTGGGGGAAGCAGGGCCTCGTCTGTCCCCCTCACCCGGGCAGCTACAGGATACACTGGACCTCCTGGTGACCTGGCCGCTGGCCCGAGTGAGAGCGGCCTCCCTGGGCCCTGGCTGGAGAGGGGACAGGGAACAGAGACTTGCCTTTCAGGGTTTCTGTGCTCATCAGCCTGGAGGGGAAGTCCAAGTCCGTCTGGCCCTGCAGAGAGGAGGAGGTGGAGGGAGAGTTGAGCAGCGTCCTCTGCAGGGTGTGCCCAAGAGGCGCCCAGCCATGTCCGGCTCCTGCGAGGGGCTGGCGGCCTGTGGGTATGCGGGCTCACCCGGCGGTACTTCTCACTGGTCTCTTTGGTGCAGATCTTGTCAATCAGCTTCTTCTGCTGGTTGAGCCGGTTCTCCCTGGCCCTGCGCTCCTCGATGAAGGACGCCTGCCTCTGCCTCATGTTCCTCTGGGGACACCAGTGGGGGGGACGGTCTCACCAAGGCCTCCTGTGGCGGCGCTGAGGCCGGCGGGCGACTGACAGTCCTCATCTTCCTAGTCGAGGAGTGGCGTCCGAGGCCACCAGCTTTTCCTCCTAAGCCTCAACTGGGGCGGCCCTGGCCACGCACGCCCAAGGGCCTTCTCTCCGTCCCCGGCCCCCAGCAGCCACCTGCCACCTCCACGTAGCCAAAAGCCAATGCATGAAGTTCCCCCAAAGCTGTTCTCTTCCAGCGTGTCCTGCTTTGGTTGTTGAAGCCGTGTCCCTTCACCACATCCACACATCCCAGACACTGCCCCCTCCCTCACCATCCCCCCCAAATTCCTCTTAAGATTAGTCAGTTCTGCTAGGGCTGCTGTACTCAGCTGGCCTCTGGCCACCTTCACTCCGCCACCAACCTGCCCAAGGGACTGGCGTTTCTGGCCTGGCGCCCTCCTGTCCCTGCAGCCAGGGTGTACTTTCTTTTTGAATCAGGGTCTCACTCTCATCCAGACTGAAGTGCAGAGGCATGGTCACAGCTCACCATAGCCTCGAACTCCTGGGCTCAAGGAATCCTTCCTCCCCAGCCTCCTGGGTAGCCAGGACTACAGGCGTGCTCTACCACACATGGCTGATTTTTTTTTTGAGTCGGAGTCTCACTCTGTCGCCCAGACTGGAGTGCAGTGGCCGCTCCTGGCCTCCACAGCCTCGACCTGCTGGGCTTTGGCGATCCTTCCACCTCAGCCTTCCAAGTAGCCGGAATTACAGGCGCGCGCTACTACGCCCAGCTAATTTTTTGATTTATTGTAGAGATGAGGTCTCGCTGCCCAGGCGGGTCTCGAACCCGCGGGCTCAGGCAATCCACTCACCTCAGCCTCCCAAAGGCACGGGATGACAGGTTGAGCCACCGAGCCCAGCTGATTTTTTTTTAAATGTTGTAGAGACAGGATCTTACTATGGTGCCCAGGCTGGTCTCCAACTCCCGGGCGCTAGTGGTCTTCCTGCCTTGGCCCCCCAATGTGCTGGGACTATAGGCATGTGCCCCCGTGCCCAGCCAACCAGAGCACATTCTGAAGCACAGATGTGGTCACCACTCCACCTCCCTCCAGGGACCCCCCAATCCCGCTGCCCTCATCGGCCCTCGGGGGGCGGGACTCCTGCAGCTTTCTCTTCCCCTCCTCCATGGCCCCTGTGCACCAAGCCCCTCCCAGCTCCTCCCCCTCGCTCAGGCCACTGGACCTTTGCAGGGTCATTTCCTCAGAGCCCCACTCGGGCGCTGCCTCCTTGGAAAGCCACCCTCGACCTCCCTGGGCAGGTCAGGCCCCAGGACAGGCCCCTGCGGCCCCCCATGTGTCTCCACCATGCTGGTCCGAGGTCGTGTGGAGTCTCTTTTCTTTCTCTTTCTTTCTTTCCTTTCTTTCCTTCCTTCCCCTTCCCTCTCTCTCCCTTTCTTTCTTTCTTTCTCTCTCTCTCTCTCTTTCCTTCTTTCTTTTTGAGGAGGAGTCTCACTGTCACCCAGGCTGGAGTGCAGTGGCATGCTCATGGTCACTGCCCACAGCCTCGACCTCCTGGACTCAGGCAATCCTTCCACCTCAGCCTCCCAATTATCTGGAACCATAGGCATGCACCACCACGCCCAGCTAATCTTTTGGTTGCTTGTAGAGATGAGGTCTTTCATGTTGCCCAGGCTGGTCTTGAACCTGGGCTCAAGAAGTTCTCTCGCCTCTGCCTCCCAAAGTGCTGGGATGACAGGGTGAGCCACCATGTTGTATGGCATTTCTTTCTTTCTTTCTTCCTTTTTCCTTCCTTTCCTTCCTTCCTTCCTTTCTTTCCGTCTCACTGTGTCACCCAGGCTGGAGTGCAGTGGCACGCTCACAGCCACCACAGCCTCAACCTGCTGGGCTCTGGCGATCCTTCCACCTCAGCCTTCCAAGTAGCTGGAACTACAGGCACGCGCCACCACGCCTGACTAATTTTTTGATTTATCGTAGAGATGAGTTCGCGCCAAGTTGCCCATGCTGGTCTTGAACCTGTGGGCTCAGGCAATCCCCTCACCTTGGCATCCCAAAGTGCTGGGATTATAGGTGTGAGCCACATGCCCCACCATGTGGCATTTCTTTGTGAACTGTTGGACAAGGCCTGCCAGTCCAGTCCCTGCTGCACGCCCAGAGGCTGAAGGGGCATTGACACAGACTGGTGAATGGGTGACCCCTGCCCTGGCCAGGCCAATTCTCTCCACTGCTGGATCCCTCCAAAGATGGCAGGCAGTGTGGGCGTGGCATCTCTCGATGGACCCTGGCCAGACAGGTCTGGGAGAGCCAGCCCTGGAGGGCCCCCCACCCTGGGACCTGCACCCACCTTGACCTCATCTGTGATCATCATGGCATCTTGGGACATGGTCGTCATATCTGACAGCTCTGAGCAGTAGTTGGCCACAAGACTCTGCAGCTTGTCCAGCTCTGTGGGGTATCCCGTCAGCACCTGCGTTGAAGGGGGCTTGCTTGTGGCCCCTACGCAGAGTAGACTGTATCTGCCCTCCGTGCTTTACCCCCAGACGGGGTGAGCCCCAAGAATGGTGACAGGGTCTGGTCTGTGGCCCCAGCCCCCAGCCAGGCACAGAGGAGGTAAAGGAAGTGTTTCGGGAGGAGCAGACAGCACAGGCCTGGTGGCTCGCCCCCTGCCCAGGGCCCAACAGCCCGGAGACATAGCGAAAGGGGTGGCGATGAAACGCTCCATCCCAGGGAAGGCTGACTCTAGCACTCAGGGAGGCCCTCTGCTTGGGAGCAGCTTGGATCTGAAGTGAGGCAAGGGGCTCAAGACACACGGACTTGGAGTCAAAGTCAGGGGTCAAGGCCAAGGCCACTCTGACAGCTAGCTGTGTGACCTTGGGTAATCTTTTTTTTTTTTTTTTTTGGTGAAGGTGCTGGGGAACCTTGGGTAATCTACTTAACCTCTCTGAGTGTCCCCATCTGTAAAAAGGTGGTGAAGACTCAGAAGGTTGTTGTCATGATAAACTGGGAATGTAAAATGAAGTGTTTAGCACAGAACCAATCCTAAGTGTCCAAGATAGCTTTGTTATTAGTAATTTTTATTTTTTGATTCGGGGTCTCACTCTGTCATCCAGGCTGGAGGACAGTGGCATAATCATGGCTCACTGCAGCCTTGACTTCCTGGCCCAGGTGATCCTCCCACCTCAGCCTCCCAAGTAGCTAGGACTACAGGTGTACGCCACTACACCCGGCTAATTTTTTTTTTTTTTTTTTGCAGAGATGGGGTCCCACTATATTGCCCAGGTTGGTCTCAAACTCCTGGGCTCAGGCAATCCTCTCGCCCGAGAGTGGAAAACGAAAACCTGTATGTTCTAAAAAGAAGAAGCTGATGCCAGGTGAAGGAGGGGTGGGCTCAGGAAAGAAGAGTGGGCGGGGCCTCCAGTAAGCCTGCAGGACCAGTGGCCAAGACAAGAGAGACCAGCAGGAGGAGGGAGCTGAGGGTCGCCTGACGCTGGGGTGGCGGGCAGGAGCTGGGGGCTACCCTGGCCCCCGGGCTCTCTGCACCCTGGCTACCCTGTCCCCCGGGCTCTCTGCACCCTGGCTACCCTGTCCCCCAGGGCTCCCCGCCAGGCTGCACCCACCCTCTGTGTCCCTCCTCCCCGCCTGCCGTCCACCCGGCACGTGCTCGGCTTTGTGGGAGGCCGAGGGGCAGCGCACGGCCTCCCGCGTGGGGTCTTGCCTCACAGCCGGACTCATGCGCGGGGCTGCCCGGGTTTGCTGGCCTCTTCCAGCCTCCTCCGCAGAAAGCGGGCGGCAGGCTCGAGCCGTGATCCCCGCCCCACCGACCCTCCAAGGGGAGAGAGAGGTCGGCCCTGCAGCACGTCAGGGTCCTTCTGCGGGGCAGAGCCTGTCTCCGACTCTCGGGGCCCAGACAACGAGAAGGATGACAGGCAAAACACCAACGCGAAACCGCCCAGTACGTGCAAGAAAGCCCAAAGAACTCGGGTGCACCCCACCGTGTACTTTTGGGACGGCGAAGGATCAGGTTTGTGGTGTTCTCGACACGTCGGCCTCCGGCTCAGCTGGGCGCCACGCAGGGCTCGGCCTGCGCCTGGGGGAGCCGCCCGGAGGAGAGCGG